ACAGACGATTTCCCTCCAGGGGCGATGACAATGGTGTCTCTGCTATGGTAGCTACGGCATTTTCCAATCCATATTTCAGCCATACCTCATATAATCCTATCCCATCGCGCCACACCTGTCGTATGTCCAGAAAACCACTTACAAAATGAGAGGCATGCTATCCTGCGGGCATAGTGAAGTCCTGCTCACGAAGAATTGGCTCCATGATTTTCTGTTCACATGTAAGACAAGTTCTGCTGAAAAATGTAGGACCCAGACAAGCAGCTATTTACGAACGCTCACCTAAGTAGTTATTAACATGGAAAGCAGCCATGATTTTGCAACAGTGTTTTGGAACACCTAGCATTTGCACAGTATAATGTAAAGCTATAAAATTTCCATGTGCGTGGTCTGAATCCATTGCCACATCTTGATTTCATGCATCTTAGGACAACATATGCACCACATGTATTTGGCTCTGTCTTGCAAGGCATTTCATTTTCAGAAAAGCTTTCTTGTTATTCAGCTCCCTATCAGAAGTACTCTCTCTGATCACTGTTTTTATATAGAACCAGGGAAATCAAGGACGTATATATTATATATTCTGCTGTCCTGCAAGTCAGAGTGTGAAGAACAAATTCCACGCTGAATGGTTGTTTTGGTCTATTTTACAGATAATTGATATGTAATAACAAGCAAGAGGTTATATAGAACGGCAAAAAGAGACAGATGTGCATGACCCTCCAGGAAGCCAAAACAAAATGTGAAGGATTTCCATGTTAATGAGGTCACTGTTAACTTTGGGTTGTGCTATTATGACTTTGCTCAATTTAATCTGATCCTTTTAACATCTTGTCTTGTTCCAGTGTTATGACTTACGTCAAACAAATACATTTCAGTTAAATTCTGTTTATATCACTAGTGAAGTGAACTTGCTAATAGGGATAGGAAAATCATTCCATCTCTGTTGCTCTTAGTTGCTCATTTTTGCAGTCTTTAATTCGGTTCTTCACATTTCCACATCAGGTTGCATTAAAAAAAAAAAAGTCCTGAAAATGCACCAGCATTTTATTGTGCATTTCCCAGTATATAAATGTTGCCATGCAATTTTACCTGAAACCATGGAGAGCGGATGGTCTGAGTATAAGTTCCTACGCCAACTCAAAATCATGGGATAAGTTCAAAAATTCTGGAATCTCCAAGATAAAATATATCTTTGGTTTTTGATGTTTTGAGACATGCTGTCAGTCACCATCCTTTTTAGCAGACTAGATGGTTCTTTTAAACATGGGTTGTCAACATGGGGAACAGGTGACACTTATTTGTATCTATCTGAAGAGAGCCTATCGGCCTACTTCTGATATGGGCCTTAGTATGGTGTGCTGTGCTTCATACCACCCAGCTCAGAAAATTAGAGGCAAAACCAAAGTTAGAGGCTTTTGGAGTTGCTAATATTAACACCCTTTGTGTGTGTGGGGGGGGGGACTAGGGAGTAAAATAAATACATTGTGCTAACTTGGTTTATGACAGATTTGCCAAAAAGGGTGACTGTCATGCACAGATAGATTGCCAAGCCTTCCTTCCGCAACAGGCTGAGGGAAGGGGCATTACCCCATAATGTCATTCATATAAAAACACACAAGGCAATAAATAACACCATGTGAAATAATTTTAGAGGAAAATAAAAAGTGTACTTTCCCTCAATGTATGTTCTGGGTTTACTATTGCAACATGGTGGGCACAAGCTAAAGTTCTTTTTAAACACACACACACACACACACACACACGTACGCCAATTAATTGCAAGTTATAAAATGTTTTTGGTTGTGCTCATGATCAAAAAGCAGTCTGTGATTTACGACTTGGAACATTTTCACCAAAGCCCGAGAGGTTATGAAAATAACACAACCCGCTTATAAATTGACATGAACAAGATTTCTCATATATTTATACTCAAACCAAAATTATGATAATAATTCACATGGAAAACATTAAGAGCTTCAGAAAAATGCTTTCAGTTCCCTGCTGTGGTTATTGGGTCCAATGAAGTACGCAGCAATGGTCTACTGTCAAACTCTTCTGTTTTTCCCATTCAAACATTGATAGATCTCTTAAAACCTCGTATTGTTTTGTAGTCATTAGTCCACAGATTTGATGACATGTTGAGGTAGTTCAAGGGCATGTCAAAGATGAACCCCAAAATGGCTTGGACCCAAAGGACTGAAAGCCACCTAGGTGTTCTGAAATGTGCAGTTCCCAGTGGGGAAAGGAAAAACGTCTTCTTTTTTTAAAAATCTAACCTCCCTGCAAAACGGACAGAAAACCACAAAGGTAACCCTTGGACCCTGCTTCCCAGCAGGTCATGATATGGGTGGTTAAACAGCTCTTGATTCCACCACCACTAGACCCAGTTTGCATTGCACCCTTAATATGGCAAATTGGTGTGTTTTTAACGCATGAAGCAGATCCAGCATACCCTTTCCCACCATATACTTTGCATATATGTATTAGAACTTTTCTAATTTATACAAAGCCTGTAACATCCTCAAATTGTGGCCACCTGTTGAGATAAGGATATTCCCCAGCAAACCTAATAATGGTATTATGCTTTCACATTGGAGGGTCACCCTTCACTGATCCTCTCACTTGTGTTACGTTGAAATTTCTCCTGCATCTCCCCTCCCAGGATTGTTCATCAATTAATGAGAAAGGTAATTGCACTCAAAAATTATCAGAGGGAGAAAATCCTTTTTTTTTGGTGAGAAGAATCTCAGGAGTCGTGTGCAGGGTATTTGTTGTACTCACCTTATTTTGAGGCGGCCAAGGGGTGTTTATGAGAAGAAGTGTCCTTCCTTTCATTCTACAAATCATCTCATCAGTGGTCTGCATTCTGCAGCCTTCCTGACTGTCTGTGCTTCAGTAAAAACCCACGGGGCCTCTTGGAAGACCAGGAAGCACAGGCAACCAGGAAAGAAAACTGGGAAACTTTACTGGAAAGGAAAGCAGACACACCACCCTCAGCAACCTTGTCACAATAAGGTGAGCTCAAAACTCAGCGCTCACTGAAATTGTACAAAAATTGTAAGGTGTTCTGTGAATGCAGCAGGAAAAAGAAGCCTCTTTTGCAAGGGAAGAAAACTCTTCCAAAATTGGAAGACAGATTTTAGCACAGCACTACCTCCGGCTCTTTTCATCATTCATAACAAGCAGAGACAAGAAATAGATAAATATCAGTGCGATCTGATGATGATGTTGATGACCATGGAATACCAGGCAAGTTGTGTGAACCGCCCTGAGACCTCCAGGTATAGGGCAGTATATAAATTCAATAAATAATAAAAATAATAATAGGCAATTCCACCACTTTTTGCCATGCATAATTCGTAACCACAAGAATCATGCTGCCAAACCCAACTCATTGCTAGTGCAAACAGGCTCATCCCCATGCTTGCAGATGTCCAAGAGACAGGAGCCAAAAACATTTCTTAAGATTTCAAGCATTGCATCTTGGTGAAATCAATATCACAGGGATATGGTGAGGCATTCTGGTTCGTTCACATATATAGCTAGATCAGTTTCCTGACATGGGCTGCACATTGTAGCAAATTTCCAGTGTACATCTTCCCCAATCTGGATTGGGATTGCAGTGGTGTGTGTCCCAGTCCAGACCAACCCCCGTATGCTACTGGGAAAAGCTTGTATTTAAGGGCATGCTACATGATCCATCAACATCATTTTTAGTTTGGAGCCATAGTGTTCAGCTATAGGAGTTGCTATAGTGGCTCATGCGTTTGATGGAAACAGTTATACAAAACATACCCCTGAAGGATTATTCCAAAACATGTTGCTCCCCCCACAGAAAATCCTTTCTTCAGGAACCTGGATCTCCTTCCTCCCCCCACTTCCATCTACCTCCCTGCATTGTACATGGGATCTACTGGGACACAGAGAGGGTACAGCCTGCAGTCCTGCAAAATGCAAGGCTGGTAGGGAAATCTTCCAAACCAAATCATTTCTAATCAGGAGAAGGGCAGGTGAACGGGAAGAGAGGGAACACTGTTACTTCCAATATTTCAGGGTTAGTTCGGCTCTCTAAACTCCTAGTTGCCTGTTCTCTCTTACAAAGCAGAATAAAGAGCATTTGGAGTTGGAAATGTCACAACCTATTTCCACTGCAGAACTACCCCTCTGCTTTAACAGTCAGAAAGTATTGAGCATTCTCCTGTCCCAACTTGCTGCTCAGTAAATACTGTGTGTGCCTGGCCTGAATTGTGTAGCCGGGAATGTATATAATCTGCTCTTGTAAAAATCAGTTCACTTGAGGGCAAGCACATGAAGTAATCCCACTGCCAGTTTTGCCAAGATCAAAAGGACTTTGTATGCTGATGCTACCATCCCACACAGTGTTTTGGAAGCTCAGGAGCAATTTGGGGAGCAAATATAATAATGCGGTCTGCTGGTCCTGTGCAAACTTCTGCAGAGTTCAGGAGTGGGCTGATTGCCTTGCAAGTCAATGGCTGGAATCTGCATACAATAATCAACAGCATTCATCTGAGGATAAAGGGATGTAACACCCAGGGATGTACTGTGAGTCCTCAGTTCCTGGATCTTCATGTATTATTATATGCAGATATATTAATGCCTAGTATAATTGCAGTGAAACAAGATTGGCTTTGGGCTTCCTTTAAAACCTGCTAATGTCAAAGGCATGTTTGACAAAACTGTATCTGGGTCCCTTGCACCTCCTTTCAGTGAATTTAAAAACTGATAAAAAAAAGAAACCAGGCCTGAGAAATCAAATTTGGCGCTTCTGGGACAATGCTGTAACCCATAACTGTTGTTTGCATATCACTTCATAAAATATGCAGAGAGCTTTCCCTAGCAAAATTATATATATATATATATATATATATATATATATATATAGGAAATGTGAAAATTGCACTGCACAGCTAACCAACTTCAATGATATTTTTTTAATCAGATTGAACAAGCAATTATGGTTTATAAAATAAGACAGATAAAAAAATTAATCTGGAAAATACTGCCAACAATTTAATGATATAATATATATATATATACATTTTAATATTAAAAGTAAATTGTAAATGTGTCTTTATAAACAATAGGCATAAAATAGATCTATAATAGTAAAAGCTCTGCCTCTCTTTTTAAAATGCTTTTTCTTCACAGTAATTTCTTAAGTATGTAATATTTTTCCCTCTCAAAGAAGTAGTGCAATTTGAACAACGTACATCATGTCAATGGATTAGAAATTCTGCATCCCTTAATACAAGTCTTTGTAAATCTCTTGTAGGAGTGGATGAAGGCTCATATCTGTCTCCGTTTTCTTTATAATTTGCAACAGCTGCACATGTTCTGTTACAATCTGTCTGAGGTCTGTCATTTTCTGCAGCAATTTTGCAAACAGCTGTGATGACTCTGGGTGATTCAGCTTCAACTGGAGTTCTAAAGCTTGCAGCAAATTGTCTTGGATATCTTCAATGGGCTTCACATTTATTAATCCAGGGCGATCTAAGAGGGGAACAAAACAGCGGGGGGGGGGCGTTAATCAGAAAAAACAGACAAACCCCCACATATTTGTACAGCATTTCAAGCACATTATCACTGAAGTATTCAGATTTCTATTACATCTCAGCTGGGATTTTTGTAGGTTTTGATTTTCACAGGAAATAGCATGAGGCTGAACGAGGAGATATCCTCCATCTGAGAAATGTTACTGAAATCTGCTCTGACGGTCGGTGGTTAAAAAATCTCCTAGCACTGAGATGAAGAGTCCTGGGGATGCTTCCCCCTGTTACTTTCTCTGGAAGTGACATAGTTCATATACTCAGGTGATGTTGCTGCCAAACTGTTGCCTTCTGGCGTTTTTCCTGTCTTTCCCAAGACTTAGGCTTGTGGTGGCTTTCAGTACAATTGCAATACTAGGCTTGCATGTGTGGCTTGGCAATGTCCTATTAAGGCAGCTGGTTGCAGGAATCATTTATGACGCACTTGGCAACATGGTTGGCACACTTCTTGCACTGACTTGCCTGACTGCGCTCATAGAGACCTTTCAAAATAATAATAATAATAATAATAATAATAATAATAATAATAATAATAATAATTTTATTATTTATATCCTGCCCATCTAGCTGGGTTTCCCCAGCTACTCTGGGCGGCTTACAGCACATATAAAAAAACCATAAAACACCAGACATAAAAAATTTCCCGATGCAGGGCTGCCTTCACACAGGCCAGCTGTTTGAAAGATGGGCACCTCCACCTACCTGCCAAACAGCTTTTAGGCAGGGATTTAACCTGCCTTTGCTCTTAGCACAGTCACCACATTCTGTGCCCCCATTTGGTGCCTCCCAATTAATTTTTTCAACAGGTAGCACTTGCCATTTTCTTTTTTAATATTCTCATGTCAGTTATCTATCTATCTGTCATCTACCTATATCTATCTATCTATCTCAAACATTTTGTACACAATAAAAATCTCCATCAAATGTTCATAGAAAATTTCATAGAAAGTTCTACACATTGCCAGAGGTTTAGTTGACTCACTTTAGGAAATATGGTCATTGCCTATTTCCTTCCATTGTGGAGCAATGAAAACATGTTCACATTCCTTTGCTTACATTTTTCACTTCTCATGTGATTATTTTGTCACCAGCAACTTACTTCTAAATTGGTATAAAGCTTTTGACAAAAACAGCAGTCCTTAAACTAATATCTCATTTGCCCCCAATCCGCCTTACATTCTTAGGGGAGGGAACTTCAGGCGTTGTTCAACATAATTTCTGGCTTTGTGTTGCACTTCATTTTAAGGGACGCACGCAAACTATAATTTTAGAAGCTTGTGAGCTGAAAAGATGGTCAAACGTTGATGAATAATTGTGGGAAATATTTGTGTTCGAGACCAATTGCCAATAACTTACTGCTGCCTCTTTTGCTAATGTATAACCTGTTAAACTCACTTAGCCACAGGAAATGACAACTTGATAACCCAAACCTATAGTGTGCACACTGCAAAGCAAAAGTTAATAAGTAAATCAATTACTGAACCATCCAGCTAAATGGAGAAGAGGGGCGTAGCCTGTTTAGGGCTCTTTAATCAACCTATGCATTGGGCACAAACAGGGGAGTGTGCACAGCTTTGTCTGAACTGATATGGCTTAATATGATCTGTGGTTTTCCAGTGTTCACAGTAAATGCTATGCCATCACCACAAGTAACCACACCAGTTAGTTGCCCCTACATCAAGGTTTAGAGTGAAGGGAGTGGATATTAGAGAAGTATAATTTTCAGGGTAGCTTGAACCTTTTGAGACCAAAAGAAGACCATTTCCCATTTCTCTGGCTATGTAAACCTGGTTGTGAAGAAAGAGGCCATTTCTGTAGCATTTACTCATAAAAATCCAGAGAAATGGGGAAATAAAGGGCTAGATGAATTCATCTTTATCATTGCTGCTTACTTGAAATTTGTTGCTATAAGTAATGTGGATCAAGCAATTTTACCACATTCAGGTTTTCCCTCCCAAAGTTATGCATTTTTTCTCGCTAAAATGACAACAAATATGATTTTTACCAAAGCTATACCATGCACCATAGATGGAGGAAATAAAACTGAACCAGGAAGGAAGGAAGGAAGGAAGGAAGGAAGGAAGGAAGGAAGGAAGGAAGGAAGGAAATAGATCATAGTTATTTCTTTTTATTTAAAAGAGGATTTGCAGTCTAATCCAAAATGACTGAGGTAACAAAAGGGTGAATTGGCAGTGGATATGGCAGCTGGCTTCTATCTTATTAAGTTATATATATATATAATCAATAGTGACTGTCCAAAAAATAGAAAAATCTGTAACAAAAATTATTTGAAGGATTTTTGCCCCGTAAATCATTATTTCACTATCAGCTCTTTAGAACTATAAACCATAAACCCTGGATTAGCTATCAATTTGTGTTTTTTACCTGAGGAGGTAAGCAATATCATATATGTTTGTGTGTGTGTACACACACATACACTGAGAGAATGAAAAAGTGTAAGCAGAAAGCCACTGAAAAGGAATATTGCACACATAAAAAAGAACTCAGCATTTCCAAAATTGACTATCAATAATAATTTATTCAATCCTTTCTAGATATATCTTTATGTATGAAAGGTCACAAAGTATGCATTTCTTCATAGTTAAATGATGTGGCAGTTCTTAATATTTACAGATGTTACTATTTTGGCTTTTCAGGGATAGTGTAGCTTTAAACATCTGGTTGCCAATCTACAGTATTACCCTGAAACATCTGGATTCCGGATGTGCAGCAATATAAAACTCAAACAAGCATGAAGTCTATAGCCTATTTCCAGTGTTTTTGAAAAGCTAGAAAATTCTCATTTGTTTGCCTCACTTAAGAATTAGTATTTTAATGAGGCAAGTTCTTTCTAAAATAAGACTGAATGAAGGGAATCTTGATGATTTTCAACCCATTGGGTGGAATCCAGTTAGTGTCAATCTGCTGAAAGGAGGCATCTGTCAGCAGAACGGGGATGGGGGCAATTTCTCCTTCCCACTGCAGAACCCTGAGCAATGCCTGCCCCCATTGCTTCAAAGAGTTATGGGAACCTTCAAGGAGGAGACGTTGCCAAAAATTGGCCCCTTTTCTGTTCTGATGATGGATGCCGTCTGTCAGCAGGGTAGTGCCATTTAGATCCCATCCTCCCTAATGAAACATAGTTGGAATTTGAATAGCGACGTTGGAGTATTATGAAAGGAAAATAGGAAGCTGCCTTCTACTAAGCCAGACCATTGTTGTCACTGACTGGTGGTGGTTGTGGCTCTCCAGGGCTCCAATCGGGGGTCTTCCTATATATTTATCAATACAGTTATCAAAATATTTTAGGGCAAATTGAACAGTGGTAACAAAGCATGAAGACTGAGGGCTAAAACTACTGACAGTGCTAACGCTCTCAAAATTAAAGTGACATCTGAACCACTACAAATTATCTACAAGTTTTAACTATACAGCTCAAAATGGTGGGGCTGAAAAGGACGAAAATGGTTAGAAGAATGTCTTTTCTAAATGTGGAAGCATCTTTTGTTCCTCAGCATTTTCTCAGAGTTAATTGTACTTTCTGTTAATCATTGACTTCTGAAATGTTCATAAGAATGATTTTATGTTCCATGTACACATGCAAAATTACTGTGCATTTCTTATCTCCAAGAGAAATTGCTACTGAAAGTCAATAGGTATTTGGCTGAGAACCCTTATCATAGTGCTGGTATGAATCAGGCATGACTCAGCAGTTGCGTGCTTAACCATAATGAGTACAGCACAAATCAGGTTTCGGGCTTAAAGAAATTATCCTCAGATGTACATATGATTAAATGTGTTTCATTTTTCTATGAGATCAAAAGAACAAATTCTGAAAAGGTAGGAAGGGATGGTGGTAGCTGGTGGTTAGGTTCTCATCTCCTCCCTTCCAGCTTGTGAGCAATCTTTAACCATTTCATGTACTGGCAGAATGACAAAATAGGGATTAAGAAACTACAGTTTAAAATAGGTTAAGCATATAAATACTTTACACATTTATGTGTACAACACACACATAGATTCTGCATAAAACCTCTGTTTTAAAACTGCAGTCTTTAAGCCATTTGTTCTCTCGGATTTTAAAGTGGTTTGTTAATGTGTTACATTATTCAAGTGATTACTGCAATTTTCACTTGCAAACTTGAATGTGTACTACTTCACAAGAAACCGCCACTGCTATTCATGTCCTAGTGATGTCCAGACTAGAGTATGTAATGTGCATTATATCTGAAAGACAGTCTGGAATACAGTTAGTACTGTAGAGAAGATTTCTGTTACTGGGTGTGGACTGGCAAAAATAAAGCTTTGAAACTGGCATATTATACCTACACTGTTTACAACTTTGCTTACAAGATAAATCAAGGTGCTATTTTTCATAACTGCAAGACTAAATGCAGGGAGAATCCTTGCCCCATATGGACTCATAGGAATCTTAAGGGCAGTCACTGAGAATTTGCTATCAATTCCTTCTTCATAGAAGGCAAAATTGTCACCCTCCAGGAATACAACCTTTTTTGTGGAGGCATTGGAATAGTGGAATGCATTTCCTTGGAAGTTTCATCTATCTTCTTCTTACGTTTTCTTACCAAAGGTAGGTAAACACACACATTTTTAATTGTGACCTTAGGAATGTGATGATGCTTGCTTTCCCGATGTTATTATTTGGTTTTCAAAAAGTTTTTATTAATTGGTGTTAGCTCCACTCTGCAAACCACTTGGTGAACTTTTTGAAACTTGGGACAGAAATATTGCAGATTTAAAAAAATTACATAGTCAGCCATAATGATTCATGGCATTTGGGAAGTGACAAGCTTTCTGGTGACCTTAGAGGTGGGGCAGGCACATTGAGTGGCTTGTGTGGAAGGAAAGATGTAACCTCATTCTCCTGCACTCTGAATGCCGCTATCCCCATCCACAAAACCTTAGAAGCTTCAAATGAAATAGGTGGGATTCCACATAATCTCATTTCAAAAAGAGGGGATTTCAAAACGTTTTATACTCTAGCAGAAAGTGTTGCCTTCAACCTCTTCCCTCATCTTTTCATTCTGTTAAAGACCTTATTTATTTTTTCCAGTAAGCTTGTTGATGTTTAAGTTGGGTGAGTATAAGCCTAAGGATTTCGTTATCTGCTGCCAATGGGCAGAATTCAACTAAGTTGTGTGCATGGAACAAGGCACACATGCAGGGCACTATGTGGAATTCCACCCAATGTACCCTGGATATCATTAGAATAGATGATAAAAGGTAAAGGTACCCCTGCCCGTACGGGCCAGTCGTGTCCGACTCTAGGGTTGTGCGCCCATCTCACTTAAGAGGCCGGGGGCCAGCGCTGTCTGGAAACACTTCCGGGTCACGTGGCCAGCGTGACGAAGCTGCTCTGGCGAGCCAGCACCAGCGCAGCACACGGAAACGCCGTTTACCTTCCCGCCAGTAAGCGGTCCCTATTTATCTACTTGCACCTGGGGGTGCTTTTGAACTGCTAGGTGGGCAGGAGAGAATAGATGATAAACAATATTAATTAAACTGGTAGTCTATTGACTTCAGTGGGTCTACTCTGACTCAAGTAGATCTAGCTCACTGAAAATAAAAATTGCCAAATGAGATACCACATAAAATATTTGGTATTTTGAGGAAGGTGCAGACTGTTAATAAGTGCTAAATACCTTTGACAGTTAAATAAACCTTTGTAGGCAAAGGAAGGATATGTCTTGGGATATACAAATCAGAAATTTGTACAACTGGACATACTTTATATTTGTAGCTACTAGATCAGCTTCAGAGGCACCGATGACTGAAGTATTAACCGTTTTGTAATTCAGTACTAATATTTATAATTAACTATATTTGTCAAATTAATATTACTTGTAGTTGGGGAATGAGGCTCACATTAATCAAAAGACTTTAGCGTTATATTATACTGCTAGGAGGCAACATTTAAAATAACTTTATCTAATAGAAAACAAAACATTTCTGAAGTTGTACAAATCCCAGTTTGCAGTCAAATACTGAATTCTATTAAAGCAAATAAGGGAGTTAGCAGTATGTTTCTCATTTGTAGACTTTTCATTAATATGGGGAAAACACTCCCAAGACCATTGGCTCATATTATAAAAGGCCCTTTTGGGCTTCAAAATTTCATTGTAGCTATCCAAGAAATATAGCAGGGATCCCACTTGCCTTTAGTCAGTTAATTCAGAGTGCTTGGGGACCAATTTATTCCAAAACCTTTCTCAAGTAAAGATATTCTGACGGCATATGTACTTGATAAATGTGATTTTAGTTAGTCTAATGAAAACACGTCACAGGACTGGAGTTTCAAGTGAACGTGAGAGAAGTGCCAACGAGTGATTAAGCCCTTTAAAACCTGGCCATGTCAAACCATGAAAATAGCGAATGCAGCTGGGAAGCAGGAAAGGAGACAGAAGAATGCAGATAGGATTTGCTGGATGGGCTGTGCTTAGCAATGCTAATGCAACTCAGGGGGACAACAGCGGCACTTGGAGGGTGTGGGACGAGTGCCCTCACTCTGGGGATGCTGGTGCTCCTTGTGGCAAGGGACTGCCATTCAGTTGTCGAAAATCCCAGGTTCAATCTCTGGCATTTGCAGCTTAAAAGATGAGTAACAGGTGATATGAAATGGCTTCTGCCAGAGGCCCTGGAGAATTATTGCCAGAGTAGGCAACAAATGAGCATATACTTTTGCCTGGTGTGTACGGTAGCTTCCTATGCTATATTTTGTGATGAGGCCGTCAAGGTGAGGGCCATGCGCAACAATCTGAGGTAAACCAGGTGCCATGGAATGAAACTAGTACAGTAGTTAGAACGAACCAGGAGGCAAGATTGAGGAACCAGCTTGGTGTCAGGGCTGAAGGGCAGCCAAAGGACACAGAAACACGACAGAGCTCAGGAATACTTGTTGTTCAAGCAAGGGTTAACTTGGACAGATAGACCTCTTATACTACTTCCTGTCCAACGGCCAGCTTGGCTAGGCAGTCAGTACAAGGCCTGAGGATACCAAGATGCTTAGGCATATGGGCAGCATGTAGTTCAGGAGCTCACCACATGGGGCAGTAGCTGCATACAGACCAGAGCAGCTGCTGACAGAAATCCCTAGAAATCTTGGAAGATACTTTTAACCTCTCAGGAAGGGCAATTTCATCTTTCATAAAGGCAGATGCTTTATTGGCCTTCATTTATTTCCCCACCCTTTCATATTAAGCACAGTGATCAAAGCAGGAGTGGTGATGGAAGATTGCTCCAAGTGAGACTGCAGTACCTGGTGGATCACTCCTTCCCATTACCCACATCAACACATATCATGCCAGCAGTTGCATCATGTGTGCCATAGGGTTTAGAGGGCTGTTTTGCTTCCAGTGGCTTCTGTTTCAAATCAAAGGAATATGCAGGTCAATTTAACCGCATACATTCAAAGCACATTTGAAGTACACAGCTACCCACAAAGAATCCTGAGAACTGTAGTTGAACCCTCAGAGAACTACTGCTCCCAGCCTCCTTAACAGACTCAAGTCCCCAGGACACTTTGGGGGCAGCCATGTGCTTTCAACGTATGGTGTGGAAGTGACCATAGTGTGAACTGGACCTTCAAAGGCAAGAACCTACTTATCAAATAGTTTCAGAGTTAACCATGAGGATCTCAAGGCAGCTTACCAGGACTCAGTAAACCCAGCCACCATTTCCTTTCCTGCAGAAACAGGTAAGGCATCAGGCCCTTTGCAGGGCAAACTATACAGCTAGTGTGCTGAGATATGCATGGTGGCTCAAGGTTCACTCCAGCCCAAGGATAACTATGGTTGTGTCACACTTACCTCCACTAAGAATGATGACAGCTATAAATATTGCCAGGTCGCTGTCGTCTAATTCCAGTGCGTTGAATTTGACAGCGAATTCAAACTTGGGCTCCATAAAGTCACAAAAGGGTTTCCGGAGGCTCTTCAGGAACTCCCGAGTCATGAACCCTTGACCATTGGAAATGAGAACACCATCTTTATTCATCATGGAGGCAAGGAGTGTGTAGATGATCTCATGAACCCCATATTTCAGGAGAGTTACTTGGTCGTTCAGGTCTAGATTTACAAAACCTGGAATGTTTTTGGCAAATTCTGTGATCTCTTGAACAGCCTCGACGGAACGGAACTGGCAGCGCTGGAAGATACGGATGGCAACCTCTTTATTCTGCTCTTGCATGGGGGTCAGATGTTTGCACTTGATCTGGTCTTCTCCCATCTTTAAGGAATTCATGTCATAAATGACAAATGGCTGAAAAAGGAAAACACAGCTGACTGTCAGGCCTCCTTCCTACATAAAGCACACTGTGCTACTGAAACTAGACACACGGAAATTAGGAAGGATGAATCATGGTTCAAGAACAGAAAGAAGTTGACAGGGAATGTGTATGTATTCCACTGGCATACTTAGGGGAGTAATTTTAGGAGTCAAAAGCCTCAGAGAGCAATGAAAGCAAAGAGGGCTAGGATGCTTAAACCATCTGCAAGTGAGCAAATCAGGCCATGACATTTTCCCATGCTTGCAATGAAACAAGGTTTTTGGAGGTAGGCTGCTTTACAAATTGCTCCATGCAAACAAATTGATTTTTGTTCCCCTAAACAAAGCCATAGTTTCCTTTAAGGTAAACTTCAATTTGAAAAAAGAAGTAAACAGACTAAGAACATTGGTTTTTTTAATCATTTTCGAAACACATTATTGTCATTGATTTTTATTTTTTTTACTTTAGCCTGAAAAAATAATCTTTTTACAAGAATCCAGAATGATCATTAAGAAACTAACACTCTTTAAAGCCAGGATTTAAATTGCAGTACAAGTGCTTTCCCTAGAAACACACATTACAAAGCATAGAAACAGCAAATTCACAGTGGTGTCATAGTCTAGCAACAACAGCTAGGAAACTACTACGGATGAGACTGGACCCAATTATCTCAGTTGAAAATGTATGACAGCTACCTCAAAATAGTTCATTTCAACCCAAATGCAACAATTGCAAGGTTACAGAAATAATTTCATTTTAGATAACTCAGGATAAATGTGATCAGTTACGCAGTACATAACTGTCCTAAATGTACTTAAAATGTCCACCACGTATAGCCAAGATATTGCTCCTCAGATGTGGTTGGATGACAACTCTCAACAGTCCCAATGGCCAGGGACTTTTTGTAGGACAGTTACACTGATATTTATATATTTCATTTTTGGATCTGAGAAATACTATACCTCATTTCCTTGGTTACGGGACATTTTTAAAATTCAGTTCCCTGTAAATAAATTTTCCCTATACCTTGGGAAGTATGAAGATTCTGCAAGTAGAGACATCTCATTGATTTTCTAAATATCCCCTTCAGCTCTCTAAAGCACTTCAAGACTTATTCTTATCCATCATGCCAGCAGTATAATGAATATTCTGCTGATGTTGAGGGTCTTTCACAAATTCATACAGCCCCTGTAGCTTGTGGATCTTCCGTATAGGGTTACACCCTAAACCACTGATCCTAAATGCACAGAGGAATTTAGTATTCTGAAGTATTGATATGTTTGAAACATTAGGCATGGGAAACATTTAATCTGGGTTTCCATAGACTTACTAAACACTGCAGTACAATGTAATTACAGTATTCTGAATATATTCTTTAAGAATAATTGTGGTTTTTCAATTACTGCTGAAAAATTATTGTGCCTGAGGTTAAACCATGTACACTCTGTGGTATCTGATCAAAGATGGCTATTTTACATTATGTTTGTGATAATCAAATAAAGAACATGGATATGTAGAACTCATTTGTTCCATTATAATATACTGGGCTTACAGTTACAAATGGTAAAGAGAAGGCACAGCTGCAATACCCACAGCACATTGATTAAACTGGACTGCCAAGTAACTATTTAAAAACCAAGGCTTTCTTATTCACAATTATTCTCATTTATAGACAGCAAGTTGAGTTGCTATTCCAGCAAACTCGAGCAACGCATCATTAATGACATCTGTTCCTATTCACTGCTCTGTTATTTGGATGAAGATATAGATATAAATGTTAGCAACCTATTAAATAAGATGCTCTGTTCTAAGCAGCATGGAAGAAAGATATTTCACAACAGCCAAGAAAATGTTAAATGAATGTTTCAATTCAGTAAGGAAACATGCAGTGCTGGTGTGCTGGTGTAGCAGGAAGATGCAAACTGGTGCAAATTGGAGAGGCTGAAATGGACTCTGTAACTTGCAAGTTTATTTTGCCATAGCCAGTGAGAGCAGTACATTCCAGAGAAAGGCTGGTTACTTAGTAATTTTAGACTGCACAAACTACTAGAGCATTACCAATCATTGACATGTGACGCAGATGTGGGCACAATTAAAACGAGGAACATAACTTTAAATTGTGTCCATAGTAAACATTTTGACGTTTTCAGAACACAAAGTCCATTACAGTACAAATAATAATAAAAGTTTTACTCATTATTTACTGAATGAGCGCATTTATTCTTACTATAGTGCTTTTAAAGTGTGCTTGAGAAAGACCATTTTACAGGGGGTTGTCTTTTCATTTATAGTTTTATGCTGGTAAATTCTACCCTGGTGGCAGGTTCTTCAATGTTCAGAGACAAACAAGATCACATGAGCACACCCCATATAAATTGCATGAGCAGTGCATTAGCATGATGTTCAAACACCACAAAGTCACTTACATGGTCCAAATTAACTAGCTCACCTTAGCTCACCAAACACAAGATCACTTGGGCAAACTGAACCCTGAAAGCTTTTGCAAATGTTGCAAAAATAAGTAGGGCTATTAGGGATGTAACAACAGTTCTTCAAAACTGACTACTGAACTTGGGCTCCAGTTGTCAAACTATTTCCTTAGGAACAGTGTGGAAAGGGTTTCTGAGCTGAAAATAAATAATTTTTAAGATGGGGAATAAAGGAGAGTATCAACTAATATTCGAGGTATGCACCACTAACTGTGATGCTCCTTTGAGGTAACGCCAAGTACCCATGGGAGTAGCCAGTATTGATGTTGGGCGGGTGCAGAAACGAGCCCCAAAAGGGCTTTGTCCCCAGGAGCTGGTGCTCCTGGTCTGGTGTCTGCCACAATCAGATTATATGGGGCATAGATTGAATTGCTATGCAAGGGGCAGAATGCAGACACTGTTAGGCACCAATAAATCCCAACGATTTCAACCAGGAAGATTTAATCTCATGCTAATTCTCCCATTGATTCGGAGGTACAAATAAGCCGAGTTTGGGGTTCTCTCAGTTTGTCATTTTCCCAGTCTTAAATTTGGTGTGCTACATATATATATATCAGTTGTTTATTATTATTATTATTATTATTATTATTATTATTATTATTAGTCCCAACAAAAAAATCTTTAGCATTTTTGTGTGCATTTTGCACAATATACATAATTTTGCCCAATATATATGCTTTTGGAATGAATTTCACTTTCTTATGTTATTTTCACTAATGCATACATTTTGATGTACAATTTCCACCAGTGTCCACTTTTTTGTACAAATCATTTGTGTACAACATGCCTTCTGGAAGTGTGAATTAGGTACTCTAAGCCCTCAACTTACAAAGGGGTTATGTTCCAGGGATCAAGCCTAAACCCAAAATTTTGGGTGGGATTTTTCCTGAATGCCTGGGGCGGTGGTTGTTGTTGTTTTACCAAGCATGTAAAGCTGAAAGTGCGCAAATTAAATGTATGTAAATTGTGGGTATATTAAAATGTGAACCAAACAGAATTTCTTCCCCATCCCTATTCCATGGTACATGGATTGTGCCAACCCTATCTAAAGAATCAGATGCAATTCAGATGCAATCTAGATAAGAAGAACCTACCACTCATGCTGATTTACAATCCCTTACATCTGAGTACTCCAAAGTTGCAATGGAGTCTGCAGTGTCTGCTGTTGTCCAATAGACAACAGCACAATAAAATGTAATGGCATGATCAAACATGTTTAGGGCCAATTCTGTGCATAAATTAACATAACTGACTCTGTAAAACAAAGGAAGAGGGCAATGAAATCCACAATATTCTATATAAGCCTAAAATAGTTTTATGGTGTCATAATGTGGATTGTAATGCTGCCATGTTTTATAATACAGTAAAGTCACACACAGCAATAGATGTTATATACAAAAATGTTTCGTTATGTGCTTTGATTCTGATTTCTTTAATCCTTCCCATTGCCCATTTAGAATCATTTAATACTTTACATTGGCTCTAGAATCATATTTCTGGTGGTCAGTTTGTTAGTACCACTGCTTGTATAGCCAAACAGCAACACCCATGCAGAACAGGGAGGTATCACAAGGCACTACAAAAAAAATCTGTATTGCTTGTTTTTGATAATGAGTAAAAGGGTGATGAAAACGAGTTTCCTCACCTTTTTGTGGCAGGAATGTTCAAAAGGGAAACAGTCAAGTTCAGCGCAGTGTCCCCATTCAGCAGCTTTTACGGTCATTGGTGGGCACAGAGCTTTGCTGCTTCAGACTATGGGATGCAGGGACAAAATTGGGATTGCTTTCAAGGTGAATCTGTATCATCTACCTGGAGTTACAGGGTCCTGGGTGGTGGCAATGCTGGAAGGCCTCCTTACTCGCATTTTGGGTGTGGCCAGGGCAAGGGAGTAGGCCAACTATTTTCTGTTGGCAGGTTGTCAACCTGTTGGCTGCAGGCTTGGATTGGCCTGCTAAAATTCATTCTTTCTCTAATGGTTTTTCCCTCTGCAGGTGGTTTGTTCTTAAATAAAGGGGTCTGTAGTTTAACTCACACTCTGTATAGTGGGGTAGGAAAGCTGAAAAATATAAACACCCGGCAACCAATGCATCTTTTTCGTTTCAGATAGTATGTGGGTCTAAAAAGCCCAGGACACAGATTTCCACAGCCTTCTAGCAGCTATGGTGGTAACGTATTTAGTGTTTACTCTGGAAGTATATACAGTCATACCTTGGTTTTTGAACAGCTTAGTTCACAAACAAATCAGAACTCGAACGTCGCATACCTGGAAGTAGGTGTTCCGGTTTGAGAACTTTGCCTTGGAAGCCGAACGTCCGGTGCAGCTTCTGATTGGCTGCAGGACACTCCTGCAGCCAATCGGAAGCCATGCCTTGGTTTCCAAACATTTCGGAGGTCAACCGGACATCTGGAACACATTCTGTTCAAAAACCAAGGTACGACTGTACTCAATTCTGACCAAACTAAGCCTCCCGATTTATATTTTCACAAACCCAAGCCTCAATCCTAATTCCTAAAGATACAACTAGGACTGCCCCAACAAAATAGTTTTTGAAACCTGATGAAACCCAAGCCATTTGTCTTGATACTGCAGTTCTTTGTGGTAAAAGTACTTTGATATTGCTCAAGAAGAGTTTTCTTGCCAGCAAGGGCTTTCCTATACTGAGCTGCAAGCCAATTAAGTACATCTTAAATCAATTAATCACGAGTTTTAATTGCGTCATTGATTGTATTGGTTATACTTGCATAAATCCAAAGCTCAGTTGGGGTGAATGTTCCTTAAGCAATATACTTCATTTGATTTTAGACCAGGCATAGGCAAACTCAGCCCTCCAGATGTTTTGGTACTACAACTCCCATCATCCCTAGCTAACAGGACCAGTGGTCAGGGATGATGGGAGTTGTAGTCCCAAAACATCTGGAGGGCCAAGTTTGCCTATGCCTGTTTTAGACAATGCACCTATGCAGAGCAGTGAGTATTATCTTAGAAAAGGTGTGTGTGAGAGAGAGAGAAGGGGGAAGATGCATTTAGTTTTAAGACAGTGCTTGGCACCTGCAGTTTTACAAAGCACTTGCAGTGAGAAATAACAAGAGCTCCATGAGAGGATAATTTTAATGATGGGTGAAGCTCCAGAGGTAGAAATGCCTGTGCTCTTCTTTTACGTTGAGACAAGAGTGAAGCCTGTTGCAGGCCGGAGCCTTGAGTACCCCACTGGAACAAACACAGCACCTCAGATCGCAAATGGAGCAGTCCTTTTACAGATTTTCCTCAGTAAAATAAAACCTCTCTTGTGAGGAAAAAGACATGAGCTGACTCAAGGTGCACAATTTGAAGAAAGAATAAATGTTGGATTTTAGTGTAAAGTGTTACACTTTGCAAAAGTCTGGCGGCAGTACCAGTATGAATCACAAGGAAGGAAGGCCAGAAGCGACATCTGCCTAGGAATGGATCTTTAGGGACCTGGTCTGCATAGGCAGCATACGATGCTCAGGATGTTTGAAATAAGTATTACAGCATCTTCTCTACTGGATAGCCCTGCTGGATTAATGTGGGAGATAACCTATGGAAAACAGGGTGACGGAACAGGAAGAAGTGGGGCTCAGCAAGTCCAAAAAGGTTATGCTGACCTTCGCATTCTTGTACTGCATTCAAATATTTTATTAGGTTATTCAAATAATGTTTACTTATCCTATCTAAAAACATTTCCTGTGTTTCCTAGCTTGAAAGATGTAATTGCCAAATGCAGGAGGCTTTAAAAACAAACTAACATAAAATACTGATCCGTTAGTATGGTAAATCATTTGCCCGAAAAAGAGAATAGGAAGCAGAGAGAACTAACCGATTTGTCTGTTGCCTTTCCTGTCAAGATCGCCCTCGCCTTGGCTTTGGTTAGCGGGAAGGACTTTATGTATGAATCATACAGGAGCTTGGCAAGGGCCCGCAGGTCAGCAGACTCGGGATTTAGCTGGTCGATATCACTCGAAATCTCCGCCAAGAGCTTCTCCTTCTCAGCCTGTGGCATTCGCCCAAACCGGATAGCTGAAGAAAGGAGAGCAGGGAAAGGAAAATGTTACAACAGGAATGAAGCGCAGCTAACATGCAATTGTAAAACTCTTTGCAAATGCTATTTGTATAGGCAAAGTCTCCTTCTACAGCTTTTCAAATAAAAAATGGGGAAAGTGCGTTAAAAAGAATGGAAACATATTGATAAACCCATAAAATGTGCAGGCCGTGATAGAGCTTCATAGACCAGTTCCTGAGAGCATCTGGGCTTGGCAACCTGAGATCACAAGCCTGCAACAAGTTGTGTGGTGAATTAGGAAAATTTAGAGGTATTTTGTTCATTCGACTAGGAGCCTGAAGAGAGAGGCTCCAATTCATTTCAAGGGCATGTGTATTTGGCAGTTGGGTGTCCAGGTGACTGGTGTTGCCAGCGCCTCATGATTAGGCTGGCCTTCATCAGAGCCGTCAAACATCAATACATCAGTACCAATAAACAAATTTAAGCCTCTCTGAATCTTAAGCGTCTCTGAAAATAAGTCTCTTGAAATAAAGGAGGGAAAAGTGGGAGGATGAATTGTGGTCAGGCTGTGGGAGTATGCTAGATTAGACATTTGATAAATGAGGTGTCCAACATTATCTCCCTATACACTGCACAGCAACTTTGCACAGTTTCCAAGGGCCATTTTTATTTATATATTTATTTTTAGTATGTGAGCACTCAACACACCCTTGGTTACATCATGTTGCTGGGTCAGAAGCAGCATTTTCCTCACACCTGGAAAGAGCCTCCGATGGCCCCAAACACAAGGAAAACTTTGATCAGCGGCTTGCTTCAGTGCTTGTCACCGGGGATGGACACTGATTTATTTCCATCATAGTTGGCTTTCAGTGAACCCTGTTCCCAAGAAGGAGCACCTCCTGGATCTCCAGCCATTTCAGTCTGGGTACTGGGTACTCTCCTGGCATGTCCCACAGAGGAACTTACGGTCTTCAAACAAAAACATCCTGAAGATCCCAGGCCACAGAGAGGTTAGGCTGGCCTCAACTAGAGCCAGGGCTTTTTCGGCTGTGGCTCCGATCTGGTGGAACGCTCTGCCACAAGAGACTAGGGCCCTGCGGGACTTGACATCTTTCCGCAGGGCCTGCAAGACAGAGCTGTTCCACCAGGCCTTTGGTCAGGGCACAGCCTGACTCCCTCCTTTGGCAATCTTCACAGAACTCTAGCCCAATGGTTGCCATCAATTTGATTTGAATTAATTTTAGAATGGAATGATTTTAGAATGTTGTACAATTTTATTGTTGTTAGCCGCCCTGAGCCCGGCTTTGGCTGGGGAGGGTGGGATATAAATAAAATTAATTATTATTATTACTTTGGGGATCAATTCTTCACACCACCATTAGAACTGAATGGGGCCTAGCAGCTCCACAGGGAGCAGAGGCTCTCTTAGTATGGTATAAATTTAGACATCTTTCTGAAAATATCCCCTCCCTACGATTTCTTCCAATAGAAACCTTTGAATAAATGGCCTACTGATATTTGCTTTGGACTCCAGCATGCAGTATCCTTTTCCCCCTGCACAGACAGCCTATACATTTCATCAGTTGCCAACAACAGTTGCCAGTGAGAAATCATTGTCAAGCTGCCTGACGCTTTGCTGTTGGGAGGAATGGTTTACTGCGTATCCTCAAACCTCATACATTGCGCCAAAGCCTGCATGTGGAAAATCTCAGCATCCAAATAGGTTGATTTTGTTCTTGCTGGGTGAAATTGTACATGCATTATGTCTGTGATCAAAGTGTTGGATTAAAAGACATAGGAAACCAAAATGTAGCCCTTAGTCTATAGACTAGGGGTGGCTAACCCATGGTCTGTTGGCTATGTCTGGACCCAATAGGGTTTTTGTGGTCACCAAGATCTCTAATATTCTGGCTGAATTGTCCCTCAATGTAGTGCTGCAGAGTGCCCACTGTGGTGTTGTGGGTCATTCACCAGCACTCCAAACCCTGAGCACCTCTGCCTTCTCCCTCTGAAGCACCACCATTGCAAGGAGGTCTTAGTGCTTCAGAAACAGTGAGGAATTGTCAACATGGTGCTACTGTGGAATGTTTTGCAGTTTCAGCTGTATGTATTCTATGTATCTTGAAGAGCTGTGTGCTTCCCTTTCTAAAAGTGGCCACGGTATTATTTACAGTCTTCATTTCTACCACACATTTCCATGTACTTAGGCTTTATAGCCCTTAATAGAGCAGGCAACTGACAATCCCTGTGTTCCTAAGCTGCCCTGCTGTGTTTGCCTGCAATAAACTCACAGTAAAGCACATTACACCTTTAACAATCTGAGAATTTCCTAGGTAAGTGCTGTAAACCTCAGGTGCTGGAAGTCAGCTTAAGTTGCATTGTGTCATGTGGCTTCCCTTCTCAAGTCATAGAAAGCAACTGTAGATGATGGACAGGATGTGATAGCTAATGGAAAATCCAGACAATCAGGCTATCACCCTAAAATGGCAAGTTCTCGTATGGAAAAATATGGTCAGGTTAAAATTATGTTGTATTCAACAATATATTCAGGTTCGTTAGGAATATGAATAAGAGTTTTGGCACAGCTGAGTTGAAAATTTGTTAGAACTTTCCCGTTGTTTATAAATAGTAATGAATATCATTTATTTTAGTCAATAACTAGTAGTTTCAATGCTACGCTATTTCTGAACACCCAGTGGAATTGATACGTTAATCCAGGCTTCCTCAACCTCGGCCCTCCAGAAGTTTTGAGACTACAATTCCCATCATCCCTAACCACTGGTCCTGCTAGCTAGGGATCATGGGAGTTGTGGGCCAAAAACATCTGGAGGGCCGAGGTTGAGGAAGCCTGCGTTAATCCATACAAATGTAGGAAAGTCTGATCTTTTATGATTTTATCATTTTATTAACAGTGTGATGATCTTGCACTGAAAATCTGAGGTAGCACATTTATCAGTATCCTTGTAACTCCGAATAGTGAAGTCACAAACAATTTACAGTGTTTGCTCTTCCTAGCAAAAACATACAATAAATGGGAAGCATGTGAGGAGAAAGTTAACCTGTTGGATAACTAGCTAGCATGAAATGGGAGGCGTATTTATCAGTGAGGGTGGCATTTGGTATTACAAAAGGCACAGGCCTGTAGCTGAAAATGGCAATCCATTGTCAAGTACTGTACTTTCCCTTTTCATGTAACATAAAACTTACTCCAGTATTATTATACTGTGTTTCTTCTTGTCCTTTGACAGCAGCAGCTAAAGTTCTGGTTAGGGACAAGGATAAGTAAGTTGTACGACAGTGTTTGCATGTCACAGTAATAGTACTTAAATTTTTACTATGAATGCACAGAAGGCTCCCGCTTTGTTCTTGCCCTCTAGCAAACAAGGGAAACACATCATAATCCCTGTTATATACAAACAAGAGATCACAGTTTCTTGTACTGATAATAAACTACCATGCTGAGCCAAGGTTTGCTCTTGGCTTTCCGGTCACAGCCTGCTTGGAGTGAAACAAACCACAATCCCTGGCTCGGACATAACACTAAACCAGGGATTGTGCTATGTTTTCTTTGCTAGCTAGAGAGGAGCAGGAGGAACATTGGAGTGATCTCTCCATGCAAAGTGGGCCACTACAGGGGAGTGGAGACGGGGTAACTTGAAACAGGGTTGCAGATCCTCACAGCAGCCACATGACTTGCTTAACAGCTAGCTTTTTCTGGAGTAATATTATACGCCATGGGTTGTAGTCAACTAATGTTTATTAAGAGTAGACTCATTAAAAATAATTGACCTAAGTTAGAAATGGCCCCTGCTGTCAGTGTGTCTGCCCTGATTAATAGTTAGCTGACTAGTTAAAGGTAAAGGACCCCTAGGCAGTTAGGTCCAGTCGAATTCGACTGTTGGATGCAGTACTCATCTCCGCTTTCAGGCTGAAGAACCTGGCATTTGTCCATAGACAGCTTTTCCGGGTCATGTGGCCAGCATGACAAAACCACTTCTGGCGGAACGGGACACCGTGACGGAAACCAGAGCGCATGGAAACTCTGCTTACCTTCCCACCACAGTGGTACCTATTTATCTACTCACGCTAGTATGCTTTTGAACTGCTGACTACCACCCTTAAGCTCTAGTCTATCCTGACAGTCAATATACTGATCAGGATGGGCTTGTGTTGGCAGTTGTGGTGAGCTGTGAATTCAGCAGCTACATGTCTGTCTCCTTTGGTTCAATGATACATGGGTGTAGACAGCAGAAGGAGGGCAGGCATCAGACTAAACTTCACCAGATGGTAGAACAATGATAATGACAATACTCTGGATGATGCAGAAAGCTTATCCTATATTCAAGGGAAACATCAGCACCTAGTTCCCACTCACAATGATGAAGAAACAGCCTAGATCTCCAGTCCACACTGAAAGACAGGGAGCTATAAGACAGCTGCAAGAATTGGTGGATCATACCAAGGAGACGGAGATATAAAACTACTGCCAAATCTTTTAAAGAATTGCTACATTTTTCATTCTGATTCCTAGTATGAAGCATAAGTTTCAGCAGGAGTCACTGTAATTTGGTTTTATCTTTTAAAAGCTTTTCTTAACAAGAGTGGAAGTCTAAGAAGTTCTACAAAAATACTTGCAAAGGTTTTTGTCCTTAAAAAAACAAAACACAAAATCATATCTGAGAGAATATTTATCATAACAATTTGTTTGTTGGTATTAGCATACCAAATTAAGATTTCCTTTTGGCGTCAGCAAACTGCATTTTATTATGAGAATAACAAAAACCACACTGACTCTATTTTCCCAGTCATGCCTGCAATTCTTTTCTCTTTGAATTACATAAGTCTTTATGTTTTGACATTCTATTCCTGTTTTCATCTGGCTTTGCCAAGGAAAGTCTCCAGAATATTCACTATAATTTCTTCTCTCAAGGATTCTGATGTTAGGTATTTTCACATGAATTTATAAAGATAACCTTAAAGGACAGAGAGGATGTATTTTAAACTGTCCTGCGTCAGCACACTAAGTCTTGGCTTGGACCTCACACAACAATAAAGACTAAGCTATCTAAAACTGTGGTCATTAAGGGTGGGAGTAGAAGACCACCATCTTTCCAGATGTTGTCAGTCTCCAACGCCCATCAACTTTAGCTAACTAGGCCAATGGTCAGGGATGATGAGAGTTGTAGTTCAGCAGTATCTGGAAGACCACATGTTGCTCACTGTGGGAACGGAAGATTTTCAACACATAATAGTGGGGGTGGAGGCAGAGAAGATGCTCAAGTCCTTTCCTACCCACCACTTTTCTACAACTCCCCAAATCAATTTTTCCCCACAGACTTCCACACTCAAATTTACAGCTATATGTAATAGAATTTGAGGCACCGATGACAAATAGCCCACTGCTCATGTAGCATATTTTCTTTTATCCAAATGTGTGGTACCTGTGCTGTCCATTTTTTTTTTTAGTAACCTCTATATTCCATGTATTAGATTGGAAACAGAAGGATACAGCTTATTTCTAAATGTATGCCTGAGATACCATGATGCAATAACAACAGAAAACAGCAGTAGTGATGGGAACTTAAAGAATGATAAATATTGCTTGTGTACAACAGGCACGGCACATAAATAACAGCATATCGCTGACAAATGCAGATCTCAACCAGCTGTTTGGCTTGGTGAGCATGTTTCTTCTTCTTTCTGGAAGGAACTTTGTGCTTGGGCTGCTGTGTGAAGTAGCACTTAATGGTCCTGCTTCAGTTTTTGTGATTGCTGGGTTTCAAACAGAGCTCCAGTAACCACAGTGGGAGTGTATCCTAGGAGCAACACTTCACATCATACTCTTCCCTACTCAAAGCTCTATCTGTGGGGTCACATAGAAACTATTTGCCTGTGTGAGCTGGCCCTTGGGCTCTCTTTATTTACAGCCATACACCTAAGTTTGTACACGTAGGTACTTCGGGATTCATTACTGTTGCTTGAGGCTCAAATGTCTTCAATGGTGTGTGAAGTGCCTTCCATCAGCTTCAGCTGTGGGCCCAGCTATACCCTTATCTGGACAGGGATAACCTAACTTGTGCTGTCTATGTTCTGGCAACCTCAAGGTTAGATTACTGCAATGTGTTTTACATGGGGCTGCCTTTGAAGATGGTTTGGAAACTGCAGGTGACACAACTTGTTTATACATCAAAATATGTCATAATGCCAAACTACTGGAAGAAGAAGAAGAAGAAGAAGAAGAAGAAGAAGAAGAAGAAGAAGAAGAAGAAGAAGAAGAAGATGGAAGCAATATTCTCACCATTATGTGACATTCCAACTGCAAGGCATTTCTGGAATCTGCAGTACTGACATTTATTTCTGCTTTTCTTATGAATGCGACAGTTGAGATCACACCGATCATAGATTAACTTTAGCCGGATTGTTCTGCGAAAGAAACCCTTCAATGGGCATGAAGGAATGGGGAGAAAATATTAGTTATAAGGAGTCTTCCATTGCTTCCTGCCTTATCTGTAAAAATGAACATCTATCCATTTATTCCGGAGATACCTGTGCCACAATATGTAAGGGGAAATTATTCACATTACAAACAACAACCCATTGCTCAGAAGTTCAAACAGAAGAGCGAAGTATTTTATAAAATATATTTACTTAAAAGAAGGTTGTCTTGGTTTCAATGGATGTTTCCATCAGTGTTTTTTTTCTGGGGGGATGCAGGGGGATACATACCCCTAAACATTTTGTGAATCTAAGTTTGGCCTCATTGAGGGGCAGTATTTCAATATGAGTAGGAAAATGAGAGTACCCCTAAACAGTTTTTTTAAAGCACTGATTACCATCACAAGCATGCAGGCTTGGAGGTAGCTATGATTTACACAACTACAAGTTACAAACTTGTTACATGTAGGATAGTAGAAAAATATTGACTTTAGGTGTAACAATTGTTTATTTTATTGATTGTAACTTTGCAAAAATAATATCCTAAATAGTAATTTGGAGAAACCTATTTTTTAAAAAAATTTACAGCGCTGTTTTAAAGAAATGCATTTCTGTAATTTGAAAGACTATGTATGACAAAAAAAAATGTTATAGCTTGAACAGCTTTGGACGTCTTGTGAGAAGTGTGATTTCTGTTTATTTGGCGGCCCTTGACTGTATGAGAGACACTCTCCTATTTCTGTTGAACTCCTACCTGAAGATGCATTTTGTCTCCTTAGAATATTACGATTCAGCTTCCATTTCAACTAGAAATGGAAGGCATTTCTAGTTGAAATCAGCTTAGAAATCAGCTTAGAACAGATAAAACATGTGAAAGTTCCATGTCCTGTTCACTCACCAGAAGCTGTGTGATCTCGCATCTCAGATCATGGCAAAGGAATAAATGTTTTGAAATGATAGAAAACTTTTTAAAAGGGACAAATTTTACTGAAGACTGCCTACCTTGCAGCCTTCACATGCATGCACTCCGTAATGGAATCCAGACGCTTTGTCTCCGCAAACCCTGCATTCAATAGCCATTAGAGAATTGGAGGTCTCTTCATGAGGTTTATTGTACATCTGCACTTTTTCTGAGAAGTATGGTGGAGAAGGAGGCTCGATCTTGATTTCATCTGAACAAGAGAAAGAGTTTTAAAGGGGAATTAACTGTAATCTTGAAATGCTTGTCAACATAGGTAAAACTGGCAACAGATCTATCTAGTTACAATTAGCAATCAAAAATTAAATGTACCTATGAATAAATGTACCACATCTAGCAAAGGACTATGGAGAAGGTATTAGGTCAACAGCCTGAACTATGAGCTGGGAATGTTAGGGGCAAATATCATTTCAGTCATTAACTCAGTGGCATGTCTTGAACAAACCACTGGCCAGGTCAGGTGTCATAACCAAATCATGGTTTTCGCCCTCAGACTCACACACCCATTTCTTCCTCTATCCTCTCCTCTCCACTCCGATCGTAAACATCTTGGCTGACAATTTGTACAGCCTAGATGTTACAGCAAAGTACAGCTGCAGTAATCATAGTTTGATGTGACATGCAACCTGGAAAATTTTTAATTGCCACAAATCATAGTTGGCCTCTAAACCAGAACTGGATATCTCATTCAAACAGTGGTTTCAACTTAGGTAAACATACAGGGTTGTAGGCCTGATCAGAATAAAGACATCCTAGTTATATACATTTATATAAAAATGTAAATAGACTATATACTATGTTTAGTTTAAACAGAAGGGGAGAGCTTTATGTTTCAGATATACTATGGAAAATGAAAGATCCATAAACCCTTCCCAATGGCTAAAAACAACCAAACATTTGAAATCTGACATACTTTGGCATTCTTGAAACTTCAAGTCGTATTTATAGTCAACAGTCATCTGGTCAGTTCTTGTGAGAGGAGGAAGGTCCTCATAATGTTGTGAAGAAAGGCTTGAAAAATCAACTGTAGTGAAAGGCTTTATATCAAAGGAATGCGAGTGTTCATCCATCCCAGAGAAGTCCACTGGGCTAATTCCAAAGTTCATGGGCCAAAACGGCATTTCTGTATCAACCATTGTAAAGCCTGAAACAAAAGAGAGATGAATGAGAAATTTTTTGGGGTGGGACTACATGAATATAGTTCCTTAATTAAACATGGCCAACATAAAATCAATGTAGTGGGAAAACAGTAGTGGTAAAAAGAAGATGAGCAAAATGGATGCACAGAAAGTAGGTATGGATGGATATATCAATTTCAGCTTCTAATGTTTTCAGTTTTAAAGTCCAGGTCTCTGCATTTGCATATCAGAAGTACTCATGAAAATTCATCAGTGAATTTCTACTAATATACACATATTGGTACGCAGGTTTGCCTAACATACACATTTCTGCAAAGCAATTTCCTCTAATATAGTACGTTAGAATAATAGAATCATAGAGTTGGAAGGGATCCTGAGGATCATCTAGTCCAACCCGCTTGTTATTATTTTCAGTAATATATAGCTTTTGACGCATACTTTACTCTAGCATATGCGTTTTTGTTGACGTTACTTGGTAGGCGATCTGCATTGCAAAATTTGAAGACATGCAAATTTCAAAGGATGGCTGTTTTTCAGTTTGCATATTGCTTCAGAAAGTGTGGATTAATTATGTTCCCTTTTAAATGCAAACATAATTAAATTTCTTCCCCACCCCAACAGATAAATAAATGAAATCAAAATAGAAAGTCCATGTTCCAAAGTGAGATACTTTGGCACGCGCACGTGTGCGTGCGCACACACACAAACAAACAACAGATGACCATGCCAGATGTGTAATGGCTTTTGAAACAACCCACATTTGCAAAGGCAAGTTTACCATGCTGCTTGGGTAAGAGAGCACTGTTTAAGAAACGAGTCAAAAGCATACATAGGACATAATAAGCAGTTGTTCTTTGGATCCCAGCCAACATTTGTGCCCTGAAAATTGCCAATCCACAGCTAACCAAAAACAGAGAACATAGCAAGGCCAAAACACAACTTTGGTTTTCGCAAGCTCAAAAAGTAAGAGGCATAGAAACCCTGAGGGAAACTTGCTGCATCATTCCATTGAATAAAATGTGAGGATCTGAGTGATATATTGCTGTTCTTTAAAAACAAAATGTACTTTTGCAAAAAGCCCATGCCTCAAAATAGGACTTGTTAGGAGAACTTATTTTTATTATCTCTGGTTTTTATTCTGACTTGGATGGTTTTAATTTATCTGCTGTATAATCTCTTTTTCCCCCTCTGGTAGCAGGGCTAGAAATCCCCCTTCCCCTGCCTGCCTGAGACAGTGATGAGGCACCTCATCACAGAATACTGTACCATGCTGGGCTAGATGAGCCAATACTCTGACTCAGTATAAGGCTGCCTCATATGTTTCACTACTGGCATGAGAAAAGACACATAATTTTTCTAGCCACCTAGCAAAAGAATCTCCAGATTGACACAGTAAATCTGGAACAATACCAAACCTTGATGAAAAATAAAATAAAATAATCAGGGAATTGCAAAAGGAAATGGTTACACTGCGTCCTACTTAACAATAATAAAAGCAAGCATTTATATAGTGAATGTGTGGAGAAACTTCGGTCCTCCAGAATCTTCTGAACTACAGTCATACCTCAGGTTGCGAACATGATCCGTGCGGGAGGCACGTTCGCAACCCACAGCGCTGCGTCTGCGCACATGCGTGACGCGATTCTGCGCATGATGTCATTTTGTGTTTCTGCGCATGTGCGAGTGCTGAAATCTGGAAGTGACCTGTTCCAGTACTTCCGGGTTTGGCGTGGTCTGCAACCCGAAAACGCGCAACCCAAGGTATGACTGTATTGCAATTCAGATACCTCAGGAGGCTCAACAATTCCCCACACCTGATATGTGTGCATTTCAAGCACATTTACCACACAATCCTTACCATCCCTACTTAGATGGTCCTACTGAATTCACTGGGGCTTACTTCCACATCAGTGGGGTTAGAATGGCAGCTTAAGTACTTCTCAGGAACGCTTACAAGAAGTCTGCAACGTAGTCCAGAATAAATATATAACATTGAAAAGGGTACAGGCTGAGACCACCTAGATGGTTTTCTGAACATACACACTTTACCACTGTAACACCATCATCATTATTAAATGTATATACATCCCTTCATCAAAAGATCTCCGGGCGGTTTACAGAATAAATTGCAAGACAAAACACAAGTAAATAATTAAACCAAAACAACAAAAAAATAACACCCCACTCCCCACAGACACATTTAAAAGGCTGAAGAATATTAATCAGCCTAGTTGAAGAGGAATGTTTTTGCCTGGTGCCGAAAAATATGAAGACCCCAGGCAAACCCCCTGGCAGGGGTGCCAACTTGAATAAAATATCAGGGGACCCAGGCACATAATCGATCACACATATCAATTGAATGGCAATGCCCATCAACATCGGGGGCCCGTCCCCTCAAATATTTTAGGGGGGGCAAAGGGACCTCAACCCCTAGGAGTTGAATTAGAACCACAAAATACCCAAGATTAGAACTAATCTTGTAAAAAAAGAGTAAAAGAAGTAAAAAAGAGAGGCTTACTTAGCTTGGGTATTTCATTTGAACTTGGGACCTGTTGGCATGTGTGGACTTTACACCTTTATGTAATAAAAACCTGTCTGACTCTGTTTACTTTGAACCAGCTAACACCACTATGTCTTTTTCTAAGCAGCTTTTGGCGAGAAAGACAGCAATATTTTATCATGTATAACGTTATAAGAATAAGGAGGAGAGGCTTGTGTCAACTTTTAACTTCCTCTGTGACATATGCAAACATTTCACAGTAGCTGGTGCCACTGCTAAGGCAGCAGATGTCCTCTGTGACCTGGGTGAGTCTGGGCATGCCTTTAAGTTTGCAATCCTAAGCATACGACTTTGGAAATAAACTCCCCTGAAACCAATGGGATTTTCTTCTGAGTAAACATGTCTAGGAGAAAGTTGGAAAAATACTGTTGTTTTGCTTTTAAAAAGCGATTACAACACACTTTAATCGGGTAAAAGTCCTGAACATATAGGTCAGACAAACTTGGCCCTCCAGATGTTTTGGGACTACAACTCCCATCATCCCTAGCTAACAGGACCAGTGGTCAAGGATGATGGGAACTGTAGTCTCAAAACATCTGGAGGGAAGAGTTTGCCTGTGCCTGGTATAGGTTATACTTTTGAGTCAAAAGTTTTGACTGGTGGTACTCTTGTTCAGCAAAGATAGCTTGACTAATTCTAGACCATTCTAAAGCAAAACTGGAGTAGGAGCTCAAAGAAGCAGGAGGGGTGAAAGGATTCCTTGCAAAGCAGTAACTTAAAGCGATTTTACAGCCACTCCCCATCTCTTTAGAGCCTAGAAATTATGCAGTTCTGTGAAGCGGACTTCTTTAGCTGAGAATTTTCAATATCTTCACAAAACTCTTTGAGAAAAGCCATGAAATAAAGTCAGTTTAACTTTGTGGGAAGATGGGGATGGAAGCCTGTGAGCTGCACTGCCACCTTGTCCAGAAACATCAAAGCACTACTATTTGATTTACTTCATCCTGGAAGCCATCCATGTTGGGATCCATCATCTGCTGCTCCATCACAACCACACTTTTCTTCTCAGCCATTGCAAGAGTCCCATATTGATGCAACACAGCTTGTCCAAATGTCACAGAGATTTGCCATTGTGGTCAGGTGTTTGCTTGAAGTAGGACATTTATGGAATCTTAAGGTAAGACATTCACTCACTCACTCACTCACCCATAAGCATTTCTAAACTGCTTAATCACAGAAAGGAGGAATCAGTTCAAGAGCCCTTCTTTGCCTGTAACTCTACTTCACTAGGAGCACGTTGGTGGGTGGAACCATTGCTGCTGGCCCCCCAGACCTCAAACAGTTCAAAATATAGCTACTGTCTAAAATTAATTGTTGACTGGGACTTTAAGCTATAGGTTTAACATTCTCAGACCACAATCTGAGAAACAAACAATTATCTGTGATGATGGATGGAAAGCAATCTGGACCACCACATCCTTTTGGCCAAGTTTCAAGTATTCAGTGAGAAAATTTTGTCCGATACCAAAATTATGGCCAAAGGTTTGCAGCCTCCTTGTGCCAGAAAATGCAATGAACTAGAAATGAGTACAGCTAGTCAAGCAGTCCGGTGTCATTAAACATGATGGCATTGTGGCGCAGCAGGTAGCTGCAATGGTGCAAACGAACTAGGGTGTCAATAATACAGACGCATATCAGAAAAAAAATCTGGAAATTATCTAGAAATAAAATTAGAATGTGTATTTATTTAAAATGCATAAAATACTTGGAACGTGGACGGTATCATAATGGGATCATCTAGGTGCCTGCAGCAATTATATGACTAGAAATTGCTGCAAGTAATTTACTGAGCACAGCATTATATCAAAATAAAAAGGAACACCTTGTTCTTTAAAAACACTGCAGGCTTTATTCAGCAGTGCACTAAAGCAACAGTTATTATGCTTGCTAATCATCCAGAAGCCTATACGGAAATAGATGAAGGAACATCAAAACTAGTAGCTGGCTAGATAAAATGTAACAAATGATTAACACAATGTAGAAATGGAGACTTAACTGGAGATATAGATAATGGGTGTGAAAAACTAATTTCCCTGGAAATGTTTCAGGCACCTGGTTCTCTAAAAATTAGATGCCACCCAATATTTTTAAACAATTATTTGGCTCCATGCAGGATTAGAACTTAAATAAATAAATAATAATAATAATAATAATAATAATAATAATAATAATACTGGCTCCTGAATTTGGGGTCCTGGTTTCTAATAATCTGAAGGGTCTTTTCCCCCTCCAACTGCCAAAGGGTAATAGAAATTGTCTTGCAAAAGTATTCCGCCACTGAATGTACAGAGACAGTTTAAGATGAGCACACACCCTAAAATTGCCATAAACCACTTAGAGGTTTTATAAACAGCTTACAATCAATTTTCCTACATTCAGGCGGTATGTAAATATTGTTAAATAAGTGAAGAATGAAGAAAAACAGATACGTAGTAAACAACAAAA